GTCCAAAAAAATAGTGACAATACCAAACGCTGGCAATGATGCTGAACACGCATACATTGTTGGTAGGAAAGTAAAATGGTAGAGTCATTCTGAAAAACAGGCAGTTTCTTTAAAAACTAACATGTGCCCGGCCGGTGTGGCTCAGTGGTTGAGCATCGACGCATGAACCAGGAGATCATGATTCGATCCCCGGTCAGGGCATGTGCCTAGGTTTTGGGCTCCATCCCCAGGGTGGGATGTGCAGGAGGCAGCCGATCCATGATTCCCTCTCATCATTGATGTTTCTATCTCTCTCTCCCTCTCCCTTCCTCTCTGAAATCAATAAAATATATTTAAATTTTTAAAAAAGTTTTAAAAAGAGATCAACTGCCATCCTGTATTTTTTTGTTTTGTTCGGCAAGAATTAGCAAAAAAAAAAAAAAAAAGTAGCCCTTAATCCCAACACTCAGCATAAACAGTTGCCCCTGCCAGAACTGTGTCCCTCCCCCTCTCAGGAGAAGGTTACTCAGCGGTGGGCCTCAGGGTCATTGCAGGAATGTGCAAAGCCATTGTTTCACAAGCCCGACCTGTATAATAACTCACCACCGCAATGAACTGAAGATCTCCTTAGCACCAGACTGTGGGTTAAGAATTTTCATATGTGACCTCACTAAACGCTCACAACATGGCACATGAGAAAAGTCAAGTCCCACTTCAGTACCAAAGCTACCAGCTAGAAAGTGGTTCATTTGAATCCAGACCGGTCCGACTCTAACGTTTCTGTCTGTAGATTAAATAAGTAAATTCATGTGGGGGAGGTTAGGAGGGCTTCCTACGCAGATTCAAAAGAGTTCAAGCACAAGCAAGATTTCATACAAGTCTAGAGGCTTCATATTTGAAACGATAATACAGTCCTCTGGGGGGAGGGTTCAGGCCTCTTTAGGGGGCCTTCCCTAAGCCCATTTCCACAAATCCAGTCCCCTCCTGCTTTGATTGACAGCATCCACGGTGCAGCACCCTTTCCGCCTTGAGTCAGTGAGCCTATGGTCTTCCCTGTAGATCCTTTTTTGGACAAAGAACACACTAAAAACAACACCACACCCTCTACAGTAAATTGCACACCTACCTTGTGCAAGGCATTAATATGTAACCAATGTGTACCATTCACTGACTACAATGTTCAAGTTTATAGTTTATTTCCTATTGTTACATTTAGAGTGGAGGATCTCCTGTGTAAGCTGCATAGGGATATCATTGCCAAATCACTGGTTAATCATCTCTAAGGAATTATGAGAAGAGTCTTTTTTTTGTAACTGTTATGGTTTCCATCCAAAACACTTCCTGGCTTAATGCAATCCCCTCATATCGGGATAGCATTTTGTAGTTTCCGATGCTGGTCCCACCTACCTGCAGCCAGCCCCCTGGAGGGTGGTCCCTGAAGACCACTTACCCCTCTGCCCAACCATCAGCCTCAAGTCACTGGCGCCCCAGTCCTGAGCATCACACCCAATCCTGAGAGGTTCATGTCACCGTTCTCGCTGTCTTTCCCAGCTCCAAGGGCTCCCAACGCCCCAGGTCAGCGGTTTTCAACCTTTCTCATCTCGTGGTACACATCAACTATAAAATTCTGTAGCACACACACAAATATATTTTTTGCCAATCTGACAAAAAATAGGTATCATTTTGATTCATTCACACTGGACAGCTATTGTGTTGCTTGCTGTCATTTGTTTTTTTAATCCTCATCCAAGAAGTGAGGATATTTTTTCCATTGATTTTTAGAGAGAATGGAAGGGAAGGAGGAGATAGGAAGGGAGGGAAGGAGAGAGAGGGAGAGAGAGAGAGAGAGAGAGAGAGAGAGCGCTACTCGAGAAAGACACATCGATTGGCTGCCTCCCACTCTCACCCCTTCCATTTGTCTGTGGGCTGATGCTCCAACTACTGAGCCAAACTGGCCAGGGCCTGTTGTCATTTTTTATATGACAATCTAAGGGAAAAGAGGTCAGTGCCCTAACTAAGGAGTCAGGTATTGCATGTTTTAAACATTCTTGGGGCACACCAGGGTGCCTCCTGCAGCACACCAGTTGAAAACCGCTGCCCTAGGTGGGTGCCACTATGTCACAGGTGGCCCCAGGCCAGCTTTAGAGAACTCAGGAAGCCTGTTTGTCTCACGTTCATCAGGGAATCAGTGTTGGACTGCGCCCTCCAAGGCTCTCTGAAGTCCCAGACTAGGGTTTCCCTGGGGAAGGGATGTGGTGGCAGGGGAAGGAGTGGTGGTTCAGGACACCTGCAGAGCAATGCACAGCTTCTTATTTCCTTCTGGGGAAAAGGGCTCTGGCAGCCTTGACATTTTATTTATTTATTATTTTATTTTATTTTAGAGAGAGAGGAAGGGAGAGGGGGAGAGAGAGAGAGAAACATGGGTGAGAGAGGAGCATCATCAATTGGCTGCCTCCTGCATGCACCCCTACTGGAGATCAAGCCTGCAACCCTGAACGTGCCTGACTGGGAATCGAATCGGTGACCTCTTGGTTCCTGGCCTGGGTAGATGCTCAACCACTGAGCCACACAGGCCGGGCTGGACAGCCCTGACGTTGATGGAGAGAGGAGTGTCCAGCAGATCCAAGGACCGAACTTGTGCCTTGGCAGGGACTGACATCTTAGCAACTGGCCAGGTGCAAGAAAGAGGCCTCTGACCAGGGGATCCCTCCCACCCTCAAGTCATTTGGAATTCCTACCCAGGCACCATTCAAAGGTTCCCAAGGACCAGCCCTGCCTCAAAGGGAAGGCTGAGAAGAGCAAGCCTTTGTCAACCCAGCAAGGAGGTAGGATTAGTGAGCAGCTCACCATGCTCAAAGGTGAGGTAACATGCTGGTTAGGTGCCAAAGGTCATGTAGCAAATAGGTGGAACGTCAGGGCTGTAACCCAAGAGCAGTCTTGCTCTTTCCTAACAGGCTACACTGGGAATCTATAATAATAAAAGGGTAATGCTAGTATGCTAATTAGACTGGACGTCTTCAGGAAGTCATTCCGGACCTCCTTCCTGACAAAGCCCTTCCTGACAAAGCCGGGGCTGGAGGGAAGCCAGCCAGGGTCTCGGGTGCCTGCAGGTGGCCGGAGGAGGGAAGCAGCCCGGGTGCCTGTGAGCAGCTGGAGGAGGGAAGCCCGGGTCCCAGAGGGAAGCTGGTGCCGGAGGGAAGCCAGTGCCGGCAGCAGCTGGGGGCAGGAAAGCCTACTCTTGCACGAATTTTCATGCATCGGGCCTCTAGTCTAGTGAATAACAGGCCTAGAGTATCAAGCAGCAGACTATCAGGCTGAATGGAACCAGATTAGAAAGAGCAAAGGACAGGAGTCCATGAGCTCTGCACACCCTTCGACTTGGAACGGTGAATCATGATCACCTTGGTTTAGGTTTTCCCCGCTAGACGGTATGTTTCTGGAGGACTGAGTCCAACAGCTTCCCCAGCCACAGCACCCACCAGGTGCTGGACAGAACATGTTTTCAGGAATGTCTGTGGAATGCTTGAGCCTCTTGAAGGTTTCTGAAGGGCAAAGCAAGAGTGGAAGCGATGGGGAGGAATTAGGCCAAAAGGTTTAGAAATCTTCTCTCTCTGGATAAATAGGTTTTCCTGCGGCCTCATGCCTCTCCCCTGAAACTGCAGGCCGGTAGCAGGAAGGCGACCTGTTTTGTATGCGCACAAAAAAAAGCCAAAGTTCAGCAGTGTTGCCAGGCATCCAGAGGTGGCCTGATTTAGCATCGTGAAGCATGTACACTTCGGGGGAGGGAGGTACCTTTCCTGAGCCCTCACAATCGAAGAGGGCACCCAGGAGTCCAGAGGCGGGAACTGGAGGCTGAGGGGTAGCGTACATGCTTGAGCTTGCCCAGGGAAACCCTGGAAAGTAGTGAGAAACAGAAAACGAGGCACGGGGACCTCAAAGCAAGTTCAAAACACTGTGGTCTCGGAATTCCAGCCAAAAGACGAGTTGGTATCGTCCCCCAACTCCCACCATACAATTCTCCTCTTTTGAATTGAACAGTTCTCTCAGAGGGGACGCCTCTCTGGCCTTCTCCTCCTTTTTGCATGCCCCGGCCCACACTCTGAGATCTGGTGTCCAAAACTGTGTCCTGACCCAGACTCAGGACCTGGCCCAGCGGAGCAGCAGGGCCGGCGGCTGAGCGGTGCCCAGGCCTGAAGGTAATTACCGGCCTGATAACATCGGTG